ACATTAACACGCACACACTGCCCCTCCTATCACAGAAGCCAGGCATCTGGGACACACGCACACACGCACGCACAGAGCCAGGATGACACACACACCCTCTAACACCCACATGGCTCATGGGATATTGCGCACACACACACACGCCCTCCTGTCCCCCAGCCCAGCCCTGCACACGCTCCAGGGCCTCTCGCACCGCCCCCCCCACTCCAGCCCCGGCCCAGATGTGCAGCCCCCCTAGCCCGGCCCTGCCTCTTCCTGGCCTATCCCAGAATTCCTGGCTGCTCCAACATCTGCAAGTCATTGGGGCGCTGGGAGCCGTGCTCCAGCTGTGCCCGCCCTGCCCCTGCCCGGCCCCCGGGATGTGCTCAGCTCCCCCTGCAGCCCCCATGACATGGGGGACCCCCACACAGGGATGGGGGGTCCCCATCCCTGCAGGCCCATGCCCCCTTCATGGGGGAACAGGCTGGGGGGGGGCCTCCAAGCTTGGGGGGTCTGTGCCAGGCTGCAGTGATGGAGACAACATAGAGCCCTGCTGGGGTCTGGTTGCCTGGGTTCCAGCCCCAGCTCCCTGCCTCAGTTTCCCTCTGCCTGGACATGCTGTGGGGCCACACACCCAGCTGCACACACATGTACAGGCATATGTACATGCACAGCTACACACGCATGTACAGGAACCCGTGAACCAGCCCACATCCTGCCCCGGCCCCGGCCCCGGCCCCGCTGGCAATGGGTTTTGTCAGCAAACATTGCCCTGTTGCTTCCTGTGTTGCTTGCTGCACCACGCCCCCCCAGTCTGGCACCGAAGGACAGACACGCACTGTCCTCCTATCCCGGGACAGAGGGGTCAAAGGGGAACCCTGATGTGTTTGGAGATGCCCCCCTCTGCCCTGGTGCCCTCTGACCCCCCTCTTCCTGCTGGGACAGTGCCCTGCCATGGAGAGTCCCCGCTCCCCGGACACCCAGAGCTGTGGGCAGATGGACTGGACGAAGGGACACATACCCCTCCATGTCCCCCCTTTCCTGCTTCCTCCCGGCCAGGAAACTGCCTGCAGGCAGCAGAGCTACAGCAGCACCTGGCTGGGGAGAGAGGCAGGAGCGGAGGGAGAAGGAGCCAGGCCAGGCCTACATGCCCCCTCTAGTGCCAGTGGGGGGGCCTGGGCTGGGGGATGCTGCCTCCCACCAGTGCCCCCCGGGGGGGAGGGTAGATCTGGGGGCAGGAAACAGCAGCTGAGATGCCCCGGGAGCTGGTGGCCTGGGTGGAAGTGAAGCCCAGGACACGTGTGCGCACCTCTGCACACGCGTGTGCTCTCCGGCACCCCTGTCTCTGGGCAGGGCTCCGAAAGGAGGGGACAGGGCCGCCCTGGCCAGGCTCCAGCCAAGGCCCACGCGGGCTGGGGGCAGAGGGTCTGGCTCCAGTGGGGCAGCCGGGATGCGGGTGGCACGGGGG